GCCTCCGCCCATGCATTCTGGAAGTGGGGGCCACACAAAGCTGCCTGACAGAGCCACTTGGTGGCATTGCGGGCTCCGAGGCTGCTGTGGCTCATGACTAATTTGCTGTACTTATTTCAAAGTGCCCAAATGGCATTCAGGGGAGAAGAAGCTTAACTAGGGCCTGCCAGAGATTAAACGGGCTCATTTCAGGGCCTCCCTGCCCGGAGAAACCTCTTTACCTGGACTCTGAGCCCAGAATCAGATTCTTCCAGAAGAGCCGCTTAGCACAGAGCCTCAGCATGGCAGGGAGGGGGAAATGCTCCCCATCAGAAAATAGGCTGCACATCTGGCCAGCAGGCTCAGCTTGGTTTTAAAATTGCATTTGAAGAGCATCTCTCCCCTTTCCCGGTGATCCCACACTGGGCCAGAGTGTAGCAGATGAAAATGAGTTTCCTTATCGCCATCACAAGTGAATCAAGTGTCTCCATCCCCTGGCCAGAAGGGGCTTCATCATGCTCACCTGCCATCTGGGAGCTGTTGGCACCTCTGGACTGGGCTTTGAGTCCCCACCCCAACCCCTAGGGACTTTGTAAGGAGAGAAGCTGGATGCCTGCCCAGTGCTACCCAGCATCTTGTGTTTATTTTTTATTTTTTGCCATGCTGGGGGATTGAACCTAGGGCCTCACGAATGCTAGGCAAGTGCTCTACCACCGAGCTGTGTCCCAGCCCTTACTGTCCTCTTTAACATGGTCTCTGCTTACCACTGACCATGCGCATCCATTCCTAGTGGCTGGCAGAGTTGGCAGGTTTTCTCTTCATCTTTTCTTTGTCTTGGTAACACTGCTTGGATCCTTAGGCCTGTGGACATTCCCTGGGGAACAGGCAGGGGCTTTGAGACAAGAGACAGCTAGCACACTTCCTCACTCTGTCCACCCCTGCAGGCAGAGGGGAGAGACATCAAGCTCCATCATCTGCTGGTTTGGGCGGGTCATCTGCAGTTCAAGGCTGGACAGAAGGAAGATGCTGCCCACATGGAAAGAACCATAGCTGGTGTGAATGGACCCTCAGGTTGGGAGCCGGGCATTGGGGCAAATAGGGACACACTATGGTCCCTGTCATGGAGTCAGTTAAGGCAACCTTGGCTAGAGCGCAGAGAGGTGGTACAGGGTGTGTGGCTCTGTTGGCCTCAGGCTTCTCATGTGGACGGTCAGGGCCAGTCCAGCTGTACCTCATCCTTATCCACTGCGGTAAGAGCAAATGGGCTGGGATCTATGCTGGCCACATGTGAGCTGCTGTGTTCAGATGTCCTGCAGGGCTCCATGTCCCGACTTGGGTCATCCTGTGGATGCCAAGGATGATGTTTGGCTTTACTGCTAGCAGAGGCTGAGTATTGCGCTCTTCCTGAGCCCCAGGTAATTGCAGGGTGCAGACAACCTGGTAAGATAGTAGAGAGCAGGGCCGGGGATTTAGCTCAGTGGTTCCACCACCTGCTTTGGAAGTGCAAGGTCCTGAGTTCGATCCCCAGTACCAAAAAAAGATACCAGAGAGCAGATCAGAGCCAGATCAGACCCTCAAGGAACAAACTTTCCTCTCCATTCCTCAGAGCTGGGCCTCACCCCACACTGCTTTTGTGTGTTCAGAATGCTGACTAAGAGCTCCTCTCAGCACCCTGGGGGAGTTGTCTGGAATTCTGCAGCCTTTCCTGCCTGTCCTCCAGCCATGCATGGATTGGGTAGACAGCACAGTGGCACATAAATCAAGTCTGTTTCTTTACGTGACCACATGCCACTTGTAAATATCCCAGTTTCCACAGAGGGTTTGTGGAAGACAGGCTGAAGGGCCTGGGGTGCTCAGCAAGCATGGCCTTCATTCCCCCCATGGACAAGTGCATGGGTCTCCACGTCTGGAAGGAAGTTGAGCCCAGGACCATGATGAGCTGTCCTTGTCCTAATGGAGGACAGGAAGACTGCGGAACAGGAAGGCTGCAGTGTTCAAAAGGACCCTGATAGGCTGGGGACTTAGCTCAGTGGTTCTGCTGCCTGCCTCACAACCGAAAGTTCCTGAGTTCAATCCCTGGTACCAAAGAAAAAAAAGACCCTGATGTAGGAGCCCAGCTATCTGAAACCATGTGTGACAAAATGCTTCACATGTAGTGGCTTAAACAACACATTATTATCCCACAGTTTCTGTGGGCTAGGATTCTGGGCAGGGCTTGGCTGTGGCCTCTGCTTAAACCCTCAGGAGGCTGCAGGCCAGGTGTCCACCAGGGTTGCTATCATAGCCAAGGTCACCGGGGAAGGGTCTCTTCCAAGCTCACTCAAGTGACTGGCAGAATTCAGTGACTTGTGGATGTATAACTGAGAGCTTCAGTTTTTTGGAGGAAACCACTCTCAGCAACTTGGGGGGTCATCCCCAGTTTCTTCCCCCCGCCCGCCGCCCCAGGGTAGGGTCTGTGACATGGCCGCCTTTCTCCCAGGAGGGCACTAGTCACCTTCGTTTTATTTTCTTGGTGAGAAGCCCACATTCTGCAAGGGAATTACATACTGCACAGGAGGCAGGAGTCTTGGGGCCACCACAAGAGTCCACCCAGCACACCTCATTCTGCAGGAACTTTACCTACAGACAGAGCACCACATCTTTTTATCAGGATAAATTTTTAGGAAAATAAAAAAGCTGATGGGCTGTGCCATGCTGCCTATGTTACTACCTGCAGCTCCCATCCATACTGATAGGAATGATGGCCCAGCCCCAGGTCCAAAACAGGGAATTGGGCTCAGACAATGGAAAGGGATTTGGAGTCTTATTCAGTTGTCAATATTTAAAAGCTTTCCAACATTAAAAGACACGGTCTTCTGCTTAACTATTAACAAACCAGAACATTCAGTTACCTGGAAAATCCCCATCCCTAAAACATTCAGGGAATCTGAGCCTTCTCAGAGGAAGAGATTCTCAGCCCAATGTGACAGTCATTCATGGGCCACTGTAGAGCAATCACAGAATGGAGAGGTCTCGCCAGGGTCTCCACTCTGCAGCCCTTCATTCTAACTACTCCACTGCTCCGACCCGGTACCCACCCCACCTCTCATGGCCCAGCCACTGTGTCGGGATGGAATTGACTGAACTGCGCAGCGCAGCCCGGGCTCTCCTGAGCCCATCAGGGCAAACACAATGGGGCACCAAAGGTGGAACATTCTTTCTGAGGCTCGTGGTTGATGGACCACCACACAAGCTGTGATTATCATTTTAATTGCAAGGCTGCTGAGACCTTATATTCAGGGAACCGATTTCAAAGCCCACAAAGCCCTCTGCATGCTTAAAAGGGGCCATGGAAAGGTCTGCTTCTGACTCCAACAGGCCCATTATGATGTCTTTCTTTCTTAGTCTCAGGTTGCAATCAACCCTGCCCAGAATGGAGAATCTGACCCTCTATTTCAAGGTCTGATGACAGGCCTACTTCCTCTGAGACCTGTGCTCAAACCCCTGTCCATTCCCATCATGTTGAAGATGTGGCTGTCTCCCCTGGCTCACCCTCCTACCTGGAACCCATTGGAACTCACCAGTCCCTCTGATCTGGGGAAACAAAACAAAAACACGTAGCAGGGGATTCTGACATCTCTGCTTGTGGTGTTCGAGCTGTTAGAAGCCTTCACACTCCACCTTACACTCCCAGTGGGACATGTCACACTTAACTGAGTGAGAGGCACTTCTTGTGTTCATTGGTGATCCTACAGTTGCCAAGGTGCTTTGGACAGTGGCAGGTGCTTTGCGAGTGTTGTTCCTTGTACTTGGCATCCAAATGTTTCCTCTGTTAAGTTATATTTCTTAAGGTTTCCAGAGTAGCAAACTTACCCAGCTTCTTTCTGTTTGCTTCATGTTTACAGTTAAATGGTATAACTCATATAAACCCCTGCATTTGTTATATATCCTTTGCATGCTTGATACATAGCAGCCCTTATTGCAGCTTAGAACTCATTACCTATCTGGGATTCATGGTTTGAGCTACAGTGACCAAAGCCAAGATAGTCAGCCCTTTCCAGTGGATTGTCTTGTTCTGTTTTGCAGTGCTGGGTTTGAACTCTAGGGCTCATACATGCTAGACAACTGCTGTACCACCGAGCCACGCCCCCAGTCCCTCCAGGATCTTGTTTTTCGTTTTTTGTTTTTGGGGGGTTTCTTTGGTACTGGGGATTGAACTCAGAACCTTGTGCTTGCAGGGCAGGTGGTGGAACCACTGAGCTAAATCCCCGGCCCAGGATCTTGTTTTTCAAGACAGGTATACTAAGGGATAATGCATGCACAGTACAGCCCATGCTCATGGATGGGCAGTTCTGAGTCCTGACAAACATATCCAGTTTGCATGCAGCCTCTTCAGCTCTGAGTGTGCTATGCTGTGATCGAAAAGTCCTCTGCCTTCTGTGGCCCCTACAGTCTTAATCATGTCCCAGAGCTGGTGCCAGGAAAATACCTTTTCCTCTCATCCTGGTCTGTCTAGGAGCCGCTCCCTCAAATGGCTTTGGCCTTCTGTAGCAGCAATGCCAGGGGAGCAAGTCCAGAGCTGGGCCTGAGTATTTCTATACTGTCTCATTTGGTGCTAAGCATGTGAGAATGTGACAGTCCTGACAACCCCGGTTGGGTTATGCTGAATTTTGGCAATGAGTCAAAAGGCAGCTAGGGCAAAGCTTTTCCTTTCAGGTGTATGTAAGGTCCACCCCTTGCCCCAGCTCATGGATGGGACAGGTAGACTGGGTGGGAGTGTGGGTCTCTGGGGATACAGACAGTGTCTCGTTTTTCCTTATGATCCCAGCACTCAGCACAACTAAGTGTTGCACTGCTGGCCTCAGTGGCTGTTGCTTGAGTGACTGAGTATCTTAGGTTGGAGATGGGGTGAGACCAGGTGGACTCGGGTGAACTTGGCCACCTCCTGGGTGGCTGGGTCAGTGGGAGATGCCCCAGGAGAGGGGTCTCACCTCTGTCCCCAAGTGACCACAGCAGCCCCCCCCCCACTTCTGTGCTTCCAGAACTACTTTGAGAGCTACCTTACCATCGCCTCCACTGTGCCCTCCCTGCTGTGCCTCGTGGCCAACTTCCTGCTGGTCAACAGGTAGGCCTCCCTGGCCCCAGGCCCGGCTCCCCCTGCCCGCTGCCACTGCTATGCTCCTGGTTCCTTGGTGGGCACCAAGTGGGGATGGCACCTCAGACTTATCCACGAAAGTCAGGTCATTCCCTGTGGAGGCCCAGGCAGGAGCTGGATTCTCAGCTTCCAGGCACATGGGACCCAGTCAGCAGCCAGCTGGAAGAGGGTGAGGATACAGGGGCTTTCTTCCTTCCTCCTTTCAAGGGGCCTGTCTGGGGACACTGTGTGGATGGCACAGAGGGCCGGGGGACAAGGCCCATGGGAGCTGGTCTTCTGAGTACCCTGAGAGCAGCTGGAAGCTGGAACGTCCTGCCGCTCTGGTCTTGCTGCTGCCATGGGTCACCTCACTGTCCAGGGCTCAGCTGGCAGCACAGTGGACACATCCACCCCTCACAGTAGGAATTTCAGACATTGTGTTGGTAAGGGTAGGGGCAGCCCCATTGGGTGCACCACGGAAGAAAGAATTATTGGCAGTCAGCATAGTCCATAGACCTCATGTGTGACTCTTGCTGCCCTTTGTCAATCTGAGTTTGCAGAGCCATAGCCTTAACTACTTTGCTTGCATTTCCCAGGAGCTGCCACTGTGTGATAACAGAAATTTCACCGTGGTCCAGAAACCTGGGCTTCTCTTGGTTCCGGCCCACTGAGACCTCATTTCACTGATTGGCTTTACTCAGCTCCGATCACTTTGTAAACTGCCAGGACTTCTGGCTGAACAGGATTGTAAGACAAGTCTGGCCACAGGGAATGTGCTAGGATTGATTAGTGATGCCTGCTCTGGGTACAAGGGAAGTGGGGGGTGGTACTAGAGCCTGTGCCTGCTAGCCCTGAACAAAGCCGTCTTCCCAAACATACCATGCTATGGAGCTGTTCCCCCATCTATTGTGTAATATGGCCCCAAGCAGAGTGGCTTGAAACAATAGCAATAGCTAGTCCCCCTCCTGTTATGGGAGTCAGTGAGACTTAGTGGGTAGCTCTGGCTTTGTCCCCCTTGAGCAGTTGCCATCAGCAGCTGGGGCCAGAAACCATACCTGTTTCTCTCTTTCTCTCTCTCTCATCTCTCGCCCATGGGCCTCAGGATAACAGGATTTCTCAGACTGTGGCTGGACAGTGAGTGCCCAAGACTGACAGGGAGAAGAAACTTCATGGTTTGGCAGCCTTATCTCCAAAGTCACATAGTGTCACTTGCTGCACTTAGCTGGTCAAGGCTGTCACAAAGCCCACTCAGTCCCAGGGGGTCATAGACACCTCCCATGGAAGGTGTGTCCAAGAATGTGCCTCTGAGTACCATGGTACAGCCTGAGAGAGGCGAGTATCCAAGGAGTGAGGGCCTTGACCTGCCCAGCTCCCTGGCTCTGGGGCTGCAGACCCCACCCTCAGGGGGAGGAATGGTACTAGGAGCAGAGCCACCAGCCCCGAAGGGCAGAGCAAGGTCCCAGACAGCACCCAGCAGGAGGGAGGAGAGGGGCAGCTCTGCGGTGGGGAAGCCATGGCCTCACACTGCACCCTCTGCCCTCCAACCCACTCCTGATCCCCTCTGTCCACTGGCTTTTGGCCTCAGGGACACGGAGGAGGTTTGTCCTGCTAGGATAGCCCAGGCTCACATGGATTTGAGCTCCTGTCCCCTGCCCGTGGGAGTTGCCATCTGAATGATAACAAGGGTACCATGCCTTTGTTACTCCCTTTCTCTGCCTGGCAACCCAGGAGGGAGGCGGAGGCACCCCATTTTCCCAGGGGAGGTCAGGGGTTGTGCTAAGACCACAGGGCCAGGGCTAGATGGCCTGCACTTGTGTCTCCCCCGGTGCTATCTCCTCTCTGGTCGGGAGCTCCAGCAGGTGGGAAGCCACCCAGGGCTGGGGGTCAGAGGTGGCAGTGAAGGTCCACCTTAGGGACCAGGAGGAAGATCACCAGTGACAGTAGTGTGCACTTCTGAGCAACCCTGTCCTGTGCAAGTTCATTTCTGCCCTCACACAGCGTGCCAGGGGGAAGTTGTGACTGCTTGGCGATAGGAAAATAGGCCTGCAGAGGTGCTGGCCCCAGGTGACACGGCAGTTAAGGGTGGAGCCAGGATTTGTATGAACTGAGACCCCCTACCCCACATCTGTGTTTCGAGCCCCTGGGCTACCTGAAGTCTAAGCTTTGCAGGCCCCTCCCTGGCCCACACCCTGCCCCAGACCCCAGGCTGCTCAGAAGGAAGGAGGGTGCTGCATGGGGACAAGGCTCAGCACATCCGGGACCTTCTCTGGGGGGGTCCAGCCGCCCCAGGCCTGCCCTTGGCCTTGCCCTTGCCTGAATGCCAGAACAGGGCCAAGAGCAATATGCAAAACCGCTCCCAGGCCTCCGTCTGTTTCCAGGCTGCAGGAGGACAGTTTGGGGCTAAGCTATTTTTTATTTAATGTGCGAGATTGAAGTGTCTCCTCCGCTCCCTCCCAGAGCACCCTGGCTCTCTCTGACTGGCTCATCCATAATTGCCAAGTGTTTTATTATGTTAAATCTGTAGCATCATAAATACTCATGAGGAAAATTCACATTTTGGAGACTTATGAAGAAATCAGTCCCCTGGGGGCCTGAGCCCTCACTGGCAAGAGCATGGGGACAGCAACCTGGGTACAGCCAGCAGCCCTCTCCCAGGATCTTCGAGGTGGCATGGCCTGCCCTAGGGTCGCAGACTACAGCTGTCACCTCGGCCATGCCCTGTTCCCGAGTACAACCCCACCACCAGCACAAGGTGTTTCCCCAAAATCTCAAGAGCATCTCCATCTTGCAGAGAGGGCGGCCAAGTGCCCTGTGGGTACTGTGGGGCAGCCTGCACATGGACCGTTTCAGAAAGTGCTACGATCACTGCAAAGAGCGCCAGGTAGGGTCCCCCAGGACCAGGAGCCCATGGAAGGCGGTCCTGGTGGCTTAGGCAGCGGTAATGGGCAGGCGCCGAGGAAACCTGTGCAGATGCAGGAACCCAGGGGGCAGAGGCAGCTGTCCAAACTGCACTGCTTTGTGAAGCACTGGGTGTTTGGCTCCTCGGCCCACCCTCCTCCGTGCTGGGGTCTGAGTCAGATGTCCCCTGGTTTCTGCAAAGCCACCTTCCCATTCAAGCAACTGATCGCCTCCTGGTGAGCAGTGGGAAGCAGGTAGCACCCAGTGTGAGAAATGGCCCCACACTGCTGATGTTTCTTGCTTGTCAGTTTGTGTGTCCAGCAAATATTTACCAGGTGCCCCAGAAACTGGTTAAAACTTCTTAGGGTTGGGCCAGGGATTTAGCTCAGTGGTTTCACCGCCTGCTGCGCAAGCACAAGGACCCGAGTTCGATCCCCAGTCGTCCCCCCCCCCCGCCAAAAAAAGCTTTTTAGGGCCTGTCTTCCTACCTCTGTCTTCACTTGAATTTCTTTTCTTTTTCTTTCTTTTTTTTTTTTTTTTTGGTACCAGGGATTGAACTTGGGTCCTTGCACTTGCAGAGCAGGGGGTGGAACCACTGAGCTAAATCCCTGGCCCTTGAATTTCTTCAGATTCAGAATCATCAGCTGTTTGGGACCTTGATATTATCTAGTCTGGTCTCTTTCATTTTAGAGATAAGGAGATAGAGGCCCCAAGAGGCTGACTATTTGCCTGAGGTAACTCAGCAAGCTGGTGGCAGAGCTGGGCAGGGCTCTTCTCTCCTAGCTAAGGCCATGTGCTTGCTGGCTCTTATCTTGGATGTGAGTGGGGAGCATGGGGACCTATGTGACAGCACTGAGTGTGTAGGATCATGCAGAACATCAGGGCTAAGGCTTGAATGCCAGCACCCAGGACAACTCACAGTAGCCACTCTGGGGCCCCAGGATCCAGCTGCTCCTCCCAACTGTCCACCAGCCCTGTGCTGGCTGAGGCCTCTGCAGACCCTGGAAAGATGGATCTTAGTGTGGGGTCCTAGTGGGCATCTTAGTGTGAGGCTTCCCAGAAATAGACTCTGAAACTAGGCTACAAATGCGAGTAGCTAATGTGGGAGGGGAAGGCGAGAGAGTACAGAAGGGAGGAAGAGAAATAACCAGGAAAGGGTGCCTTATCCTCCCAGCCCACAGAGGGCAGCCAGTGCTAATCCTGTGGGATCTGGGGGAGCTGGTTGGGGCACCTGCCCAGGAAGAAGGAAGCTGGGGTGTTGGTCCACCTGCCTTCCCATCACTGGTTGAAGGCTGCTCTTAGGAGCTGTTAGTTACATGTCACCTCCAGCCTGCTTCCTGGACCAGTGTGTCCAGAAGTGTCAAGAGGAAGGGCATGTGGCAGGAGACCAGCAGCATCCCTGGAGTGTCTGGCAGTGTTGTGCCCTAGTGTGAAACCCTGATGTATCTCTTTGTGTTCATGGGTATGCTTGGTAACAAATGGGAAAGACATAAAAGAAGACGTACTTGTTCTGTAATTGAAAGTTAAAGTCAGGGACCAGGGATTTAGCTCAGTGGTTTTGCCGCCTGCTGTGCAAGTGCAAGGACCCGAGTTCAATCCCCAGTACCAAAAAAAAAAAAAGAAAAAGAAAAGAAAAGAAAGTTAAAGTCAGATTGGCCTTTAGGTATCATTGGATCTAAGAGATGTCCTCCTGCACTGTCCCTGGGGCCTGTGTCTCCGCATCATCCTATCCCATACACAGCCTAGCCACACTCAGGAGAGCTGCTGTCCGCCAGCTTCTATGGATCAGTCCTGGGCAAGACCGAGTAGCCCTGAGTGGGTCCTGTGCTAATCTCTGACCCATCCAGTAGCTAGAAGCATTGGCACTGTGACCACCCTGCCAGTTCCCGTGCCACTGTCTAAGGATGGGCTGGTGTGGGGGACATGGCTGACACCTCGCCAGGACGAATTGACATAGAGGAGACTCCCAGGGCAGTGATGCTGGCAGACAAAGATCTCACACCTGCTTGGTGCCCCTTTGGGTATCGATTCCTGGGCTGCTCAGGGTGGATGAGGCCCTCTGAGGCGAGACTGTGCATCTCTCTCCATCCTACACCCCGTCTCATCTGTAGCCAGAGTGCTTCGTCAGTTCCCTGGACACACATGTGCTCTCCCAAGATGTATGTGCTCATATCTGCCCTCTTGTCCTTCTGGTCCAGCTTAGGTACCACCTCCAGGCAGCCTCCCTGGTTCCTGGGGTGAGATATGTGCCACTCCAGTGTGGCCTCTCTCTGGAGCATGTAGCCCTATGGACAGCAATGCCTCAGTAGCTCCATCCTGTGTCCCACACACCCCGAGCAGTCTTTGACACTCAGTAGTTGCTGGGTGCATGTTTTCAGAATGAGCACCCCATGACCAGAGTCCTGGATTCTCCTCCCAGCTCCCTCAGACTCACCAGGGCCCAGGATCCCTTCTGCCCCCACCACAAAACCAATTCAGCACCTGTGCTCCCTCCCACTGAGGGTCAGAGGACCCTCCACAAAAGCACTTTGCAAGTGTCATTTCTCGTCTCCATGCTCTTCATTTCCACACCTGTTTATGTACATAGATCTCTGTATTTTCTACCTTTTGAGTTTGTCTTTCTTTTTTTATCCAGAGAAATCTGTGTGTATCTACACTTGATCTTAGCCAAAAGGCCGAGAAGAGATCATCTGTGTGTATCTAATTTGGCTTTTCTCTGAGCTACATCACACACACACACACACACACACACACACGCACACACGCACACTGGTTAGCAGGAAAATGAACTAAACACCCAATCTGGTTTCCAAATTAGTCTAATCTGATGATTGAGAGAGCCTTGGAGATGGTGCTGTCTCTCCTAGAATAAAAATGTGCCCTTTCTCTGAGAACCTCTTTCCTGCCTTCCTCCCTGGGGGGGTGGGGGCTGGGAGGTGTGGATGGATGGGATGTGGGGTGACATTAGGGGCATCAGGGGTCCCTGGCCCTGGGCAACACTAGCTTGTGCCACCCAGAATCCTTTATTCCAGGGGAGGCAGTAGAGCATTGTTCCAAGAGCACAGACAGGAGCTGGGGCCCTGGGGTCGTGGCTGCGTGACCTTGGGCAAGTTCTTTACCCTCTCAGAGCATAGCTTCCTTTCCACATCAACCGGCTGTGGGAAAGCTCCTGTCTGACAGAGGTGCACGGAAGAGAGTGAGAAAGCCCAGCACAAGGCATAGGCTAAAGACTGCCTGAGTGATGTGATGACTAAGGTGATGGTGATGATGACTTCCCCTTCCCCATGCCCCACGGCCCAGTTTCTGGAGAAGGAAGCCCGGGGGGCATGGCCTGTCTGAGCACTGGACAAAGCCAGCAGCGCTATGGGAAGATGAGTGGGGCTTGCCTGGCATCCTGCCCTTGAATCTCACAGCCAGGTGAAAAGCAGCCGTGTCCACTGCATGTCAACTCCCCTCAAGAGGCAGCTCGACTCTGCCCTGTGCTTCAGGTGCAAAGGCTGAAACCAGGGCACCTGAGTTGATTTCCTAGGCTGCATGGCTCAGGAACAGGTGGGTAGGAGGGAGTGTCTAATCGCTTCTGGCATCCTTACCTCAGGGTTCCAGTCCGTGTCCGCGTCCTGGCCTCGCTGATTGTCACATTGTCCATTTTTGTGGTGATGATCGCGCTGGTGAAGGTGGACACTTCCTCCTGGACCCGAGGCTTCTTTACTGTCACCATCATCTGCATGGCTATCGTCAGTGGCTCTGCCACCATCTTCAACAGCAGCATTTATGGGCTGACGGGCTCCTTCCCCATGAGGAATGCGCAGGCGCTAATATCAGGTGACAGCTGGACACACCGCTACCAGGTTCTTCCCTGGGGCCTGAGGGGGAGCAGAGGGAGTACCTGTGGTCTTTCCAGAAAAGGAAATGCATGCTATGTGCCTTTCAGCTTCTTATGATTGTAAGACAAATCACCCCAGACTTAGTAACTTAGAGTCATTTATTTTGGTGACAGATCGGTGATTTGGACAGGGACAGCTCTTTTTGACTCCTTTTCATGTGGGCCTTGCCATGGCTTCCTTGGGCATGCCGTGTGGGTCACAGAACCGGTGTCCCCAAAGGCCTAGGCAGAGCTTTGTTTTCAACGTGGACATATAGGTTGCCTCCACCACAGCCATGAGTTCTGCTAGACTCAAGACAACACAGATCCACTGGGGAGACCGAGGAAATCAGTCTGGAAGAACAGGCAGGGAGGGAGCTAGCACTGCAGCCACTTAAGGAAAACCCAGTCTGCCTGCAAAGTGCTGGTTCTGAAACCAGCCTTCTTCTCTTTCCTTCCCTCCTCTGAATCCTCCTTTCTCCTGTCCTTCTTCCGTTTTTCTTCCCCTTACCTTTGCCCCTTGTTTTTCCTCCTTTTCCCTCTTCTGCCTTTTCTTTTCACATTTTATAGAGGAGTTGCCTTGTCCCAGGGACTCAAAGCTGACCAACCGAGCGTGGGTCCTCACACAGCTGACAGCTGAGGGAGAAATCTCCTCAGTCCCTTGGACTGTGACATTCCAGAAGCTCACTCACGCCTGGCTTGGGCTGATCCCCCAGCTGGAGATTTGATGAGAATGCTAAGCCCATTATGGGCACCTTGCCTGTTTTGTGTCTTCTACGCAACCCCACAAAATAAATAGGGTGGAGTCCGTCAGCGTCTGTTTTCCCAGGAGACCTTGGTCCTCCAAAGCAAGGCAGAGGAGTGCTTTTACCATTGTCCTGCTGGGGGAGAGGATTGCACAAGGAATCCGAACCACACCCATTAGTTAGGATGTCGCAGGCTAAGACCTTGACAAGTGGAAGTCCCCTCCCACACTGCACCAGTGTGTCAGACATCACTAAGAGATCTCTATCTTTCCCTCTGAGCCTCTAAATCCTTCTCCACACAGCACTTGAGGTAATTACTCTCCACGGATCAGAGTCTAGATGTGAGCTTCAGTCTGTTTGCCATGTTTGATATAGGATTAGGCTTCTGGCTCTATCCTAGGAAACCCTTGGGCCCAAAATAAAATAAAAGTGAACTCCTTGCTAAGTTTCCTGAGTATAGTCAATGTGCCCTTAGCAACGCTTCAAGAAAGGTATGTCTGGCTGAGGGAAATGGCTTTTATACGTTAATCCCTTCCATCACTCCTAGCCTCAAATAGAGCTCTTATCCTGCATCTCCTTCCAAGAAGGGGTAGCTGGGCATGGTGGTGCCTGCCTGTAATCTCAGCACTCTAGGAGACTGAGGCAGGAGGATTGTGCGTTCAAGTCCAGCCTGGATAACTTAGCAACTTAGCAAGACTCTTTCTCAGAATTTAAATAAATAGATAACTGTGTGGAGAAGCTTAGTACTTAGACCTCAGCATCAATTACCTGGGTTCCCCACCATTGTCGTTCCTGTGCTAGGCCTCTGACAGGCACGTGACTCCCCAGAACATCAGAGGAGAGGTGTCCGGAGCTCCCAGAGACCCCAGCCCTTCTTGCTTTTTCCATTCAGAGGAGCCCATCTGTGAATTCTGCACATGTTGGCATTTGAGAAACAATTCATTTGTTTTGTGCTGGTGTTTTTTTCAAATCTCTCATTTGCATGTATTTCCATAAATGATGAGATAAAAGTAGGGAGTCATGAAGGATGAGCTCCCGGAGGCCTGGTTGGCTGTTGATGATAATATTGTAAATTCTCTCCAAGTGGGAAAGGGAGGGGGCAAATCAATAGGCAGGATGTTAAGATCGCTTCCTCAGGCGGCCACCTCGTGTCGTACCACACGTCACCCCACTTCTTACAGAACGCCCAGGTGGGGATTATAGCTTCTCAGAAGTGGGCACCCTCTTGGCAAAGGGTTTACCCTGTTGTTGCCGCTTTGATGTAAGAAGGACAGAAATAGCCCAATACCTAATCAGGAATCAGAGAGGATTTATTTGGTGTTTGGCACTTCTCTGTGTCAGGCACTGTTCTGATCAATTCACATGTAATAATCCTCTTAATCTTCCTAATAGCCCTCAGAGGTAGGTACCATTAACATCCCCATCTTATAGATGAGGAAACAGAGGAACAGAGAGGTTAAGGGACTTGCTGAAGGTCACACAGCCAATAGTAATAAAGCTGGGATTGGATTGGGATGGAAAGCTATAGTCTGTGCTCTTAATCACTATGCTAATCTCCCCTTCCTTCAGTCCTAGTCTCTGGCCCCATCCAAACTAATAGAATGCATACTGGGGAAGTTAGGGGCAATGATCATCAGGGGCAAGGACTGTTAGTGGGGACCCACAGAGAATGTGGAGCAGAGCATGGGCGAGGCACTGATGGTGGACAGGGCCTCATCTGTCCCTACCCACGCAGCAGTGGGCAGAAAGGGGTGCCACACACACCCAGTTGCTCTCGGCTGTTGCAGTCTGCCTTCTCTTCTGAGACTAGACATCCCGGTGCTCTAAAGTGAGCAGATGTGCTCATTCGGCCCACCACACACAGTCTAGGGCACTTCCAGGACTGAGAACTGTGGTCCTTTCCTGTTTCCCCCTCACTGTGGTCTCATGTGATGAGTAGGATGCACACTGACCCCATTTTCTAGCCAAATAGAGTCTGGGGACAGTGAATGGTCTGCCCACACAGCAAGACTCCCAAACCGTGTGACTCTTGGCTGAGACCCTAGCTCCCAGAAGGAAGGAACCATGTGATGGGACCAGGCCTTGATGATAGTCTGCTGTGTCCCAGGTTCTTTCCCAGTGTCATCTTAGTCAAGGCAGCTGTGTGAGGCAGGCATTGTTCGCATTTCACAGATGAGCAAACTGTGGCCTGGAGAAGTCATGGTGGGAGCACCAGGGTCACAGCTAGCACGGGGTGGAATAAATGTCAAGTGTACATCCAGTGTGAGGTGTGTGAGCAGCAGTGTGTAGGAAAGGAAAGAGGTTCCCCGATAGGATAGCCATGGAGGCCGCAGGCGGAGCTCAGCTAGGACTATCCCAAGTAGCTTTCCGGAGCAGCCCTCCTGGGCAGGGCAGGAAGCAGAGGGAGAGGGACTAGGCTGGGGCCAGGGAGCAGCCTCACCTCCAAAACCTGAGCACTCAGGCTGGGCCAGGACCCTCCCTGTCTGCTGTGGCCTCAGGATGATGAGAACTTGGGAGGCGGGCAGTTTTTATTTTGGTCTGAGTGGAGGCGCCCATGGCTGTGCCTCCCCACATGCACCCCTGACCTCTGTGGTATCCTCTGCTCCCTGCAGGAGGAGCCATGGGAGGGACCATCAGTGCTGTCGCCTCACTGGTGGACCTGGCCGCATCCAGTGACGTGAGGGACAGCGCTCTGGCCTTCTTCCTGACGGCAGTCGTCTTCCTAGGGCTCTGCATGGGGCTCTACCTGTTGCTCCTGAGGCTGGAGTATGCCAGGTAAGGACCTGCTGGCTGCCCCGATCTGCTCCAGTCACCTCATTGCATTGATGTCCATTTATTTATTGTCAGTCCCTGCAGGAGCAGTGTGAGCTCCATGAGAGCGGAATCTTAATGTGAGCTTTGTTCTCCTCTGTGTCCCAGGGCCTCTAGCTGTGCTTGACTTGCAGCACTGTCTAATGTAAGATGCTGGATCGGGACTGGATCCCCAAGCAGTTGGAGTCTGCAAGTTTGAGGACAGGGAAAGCAGGCAGTGGAAGTGAGGACGGCGCAGTAATAATAATGAACGGACACAGTGGTGCACGCCTCCAATCTCAGCACTGTGGGAGGCTAAGACAGGAGGATTGGTAGTTCAAGCCCAGCCTGGGCAGCTCAGCAACTTATGGAGACTCTGTCTCAAAATAAAAAAAATAAAAAGAGCTGGGGCCAGGGACTTAGCTCAGTGGCATTGTGCCTGCCTCACAAGCACAGGTCCTGAGTTAGATCCCCGGTACCAAAAACAAAAAGGGCTGGGAGGGCCCGGGATGTAGTGCAGTGGTTCCGGTGCCTGCCTTGAAAGCGCAAGGTCCTGAGTTCAATCCCCAGTACCAAAAAACAAAAAAAGAGTAAAAACATTATTTGGACCAGGGATTTAAGTGGTTTCTCAGTGGTTTCTCCGCTTGCCTCTGAGTTCGATCCCCAGTACCAAAAAAAGGGGGGGGGGGCTGGGGATGAAGGTCAGTGTGAAGGTCCTGAGTTCAATCCCCAGTAATGCTTTAAAAGAGAGAGAGAGAGAGAGAGAGAGAGAGAGAGAGAGAGAGAATGAAAATTCTCATTCACTGAATGCCCCCTGCTCCAGCACAAGTCAGCTTCGCTGAGTGTCAGATCTCACCACTTAACACTCACACGCCCTTGCTCCTCATTGGATCGTTATTCATTACTATTCCAATACACAAATTAGAAAACCAAGGATCAGAGCAGTCGAGTTACTTGCTTGTGTCCCACAGCAATAGGTAGCAGAGTCAGGATTTGAGCTCAACTCCAGACCTGTACTTTTAACCACACACTGCCCTATGGGGCTTCTTTCCACCCTCAGGATCCCTTTTCATGCCTTGAGTCTCTCTTTTGCTTTCTGTCTCTAGTTCTTCCTTTTCCTTTCTTGCTTCCTACTGCTCTTTAAAAAAAAAAAAGTCTTTGCCTTTCTCTCATGTTTCATTTTCTTAAAAGCGCTTTCTTAGCCATTGTCCAGTGGAAGGGAAGCAGGAGTTGTCCCCTTTTACAGGTGAGGCCACTGAAGCCAGGATTTGGCCAGGTGGTCTGTCTGCCTAAGAGTCCTTGGTATGAGGAGCAGGATTGGGAGTCCTGACTCTGCCCTTCTGTAGGGACCTGTTCTTTGTAGCAGCTCTGAGCTCAGTAGTTTACACACGCATTTTTTATCACTTGTGGCAATTTGTGTCATCATTGTGGTATTTTGGCACTTTACAGTTGAGGAAACCGAGGCTCAGGGAGTTACCAAACCTGATCCCAGGTGGCTCACTGGTGAGTAGCAGGAAGGGATTTGACCTCGATGCCATTTCTGGAGCTGTGTTGTGCAGCATTCCTCATGGCCTTAGGGTCCTCCTGCTTTATTGCTCCTGTCCTTGTGAAAGGCACCATCTCATTGATCCCCAGAACACCCTGCCTCCACCAAGCCTCAGTTCCACCCTAGAGGGAGAGTTGCTTTTCCCAGGTACAGGGTTGTAAATCTCACCAGCTGGCCTTGGTGGCTTTAGGAGGAAGGGGACTGAGCTACTGGAAACTGGCATCTCATAATCTCCCAGGCATGGACAAACCCATTAGTCAAATGCCCCACCATGGTTCCACACTCCTGGGGTCCTCCTGGCTCACTGGCACCTTGCCATGCTTATAATTTTTCTTTTTAATTTTGACCTGTCTTTTTTTTTTTCCCTGGTACTGGGAATTAAAGTCAGGACCTTGTGCTTGCCAGGCAGGTGCAGTGCCATTGAGCTAAATCCCTGGCCCTCTTTTTAATTTTGAGACAGGGTCTTGCTATGTAGCCCAAGCTGGGCTCAAACTTGAAATCCTCCTGCCTTGCCCTCTTGAGTACTGGGATTACAGGTGTGTGTCACCATGCCTTGCATGAAAATATTTTTGAGTCCCTAAATAAATGAAGGGGTAGAGAGTGCCCTACTCCTCCCCTTCCCTGCATTTGTTTTGAGGGTGCCTTGGATGAATCTGTTGCCAGCAGCGTAGCCAGCTTGTTGTGTTCACCTGGGACTTTTAAGCAAAGCAAGACAGCTGGTCACTCTTGTTTCTGTTGCATTTGGGCAGGCCGAGCCTCGAAGCTGAGCACTAGACAGAAGCCTCCAGGGCCTGCTGCTGTGGGCAGCTTCTGTTTCTCTGCTGATTAAAACCCAGGCCAAGGGTCCTGCTTTGCAGAAATCTGCTGAGGATAACAGTGGTGCTCATAGAGAAAGCTGAGTTCTAGGGGTGCGCAAGTGAAATCTGACTTGAGAGGAGACACCCTCCGCAGTGAGGATGAGGCAAGGCTGTAGACTGGAGGGACATAGCAGGAGGGGCTCGGGCCAGAAGAACTTGGTGGACAGCTTCCGAAGAGCCAAGCAGCCTGGGACCTGAGGCCCAGCAGAGAGGGAAGTAGGACTGTTCCTTTCCCCAAATATAAATGGTGAAACAACTGCCCCAAGGCCAGAGCCCCCTGCTGAGCATCACACAGAAGGACTTTAGGAACAACAGCTTATGTCTCCTGGCTTTCAGGTACCTGTGGCCCAGAGAGGTTGAGCAGCTCAGCCAAGTTCACACAGCAAGGCAAAGTGACCTAAGCAGAAGTTGAAAGGATCGATGACATTCAGCACTAAGGATATGGGCAGGGGCAAGATACTTTTAGAGCGCACTTAGCCATTCTTTCAACAAGTAGGTTTTGAGAGCTGCTCTGCCTAGTGATTTAGCTAGAAGCAATCAAACATGGTCTTTGCTCCAGAGACCCGTTGTCTTCTATCGAAGGAGACAGCTGGCAAGCCAGTACACTAACATAACAATTACAGATTGTGGTGAAATATTTGAAAGAAATACAAGTGCCCTCCTGGAGATGAATAGAGCAGGTTACTTAGGGTGAGCGAGAGTAGTTCAGAGGAGAGATGAATTGGTACTCCCTCGGCAGACAGCAGATTATAAATATCTATCAAAATGTTAAAGGTGCAAACCTTTTAATTCAGAAATCTCCTCTTCTAGATATCTCCCCTACCAGAGTACTGGGATACATGTGCAAAGATTTATGTATAGGGGAATCCAAACTCAATAGCAAGAAAAGAGCCTAATTAAAAAACAAGCAAAGGCCCTGAATAGATATTCCTCAAAAATGATATACAACTGGCCAACAGATGTGAAAAGTGCATTTTTATATGCATTTATGGATAATATATATTATGTATGTGCATTTATGAGGAATAGTTACACATGATTTAGATAGCTATGTGTTATAGTAAGTTATAATATACTTAGGCATTATAACATTGCAGAAAGTCTTAGTTTTATCCCACTTTTGCTTCAGAAACAAATTGTGTATGTGTGTGTGTGTGTGTGTGTGTGTGTGTGTGTGTGTGTGTGTGTGGTTTTATTGGTGTGGGATATTACCTGCCAGGTTGTTAGTGGTCAGTACCATTTAGGAATGAGATCAGAGGCAAGATGAAGTGAGAATTTTCTTTCTACTGTATCGTTTCTTTATTATTTCAATTCATTGTATCAAGCATATTGCTTTTATGATTTTAAAATTGCATATTTTTATATGCTACTTGATTTCTACCTCCCCTCTCTAAAATACATGCAGATGAACCAGGACAGGAGCCTCTGCTCACTGTGTGGTGGTCAGACCTGGTCTCCTCTGTCCCTGCTTGTGGAATGGCCACCACCACTGATCAAAGGACTGAAGTCCAGCCTGGAAGCCACGCTGGGGACAGTGTGGGTTTTCCTCTGGGCACCCATATCAGCATTTATCATCTCAGGGAATCTGGGCTGCTGGATGGTCCTGGCCTAGGCTTTGCGTGCTGAGCCTAAGGGTGCTGTTCTGGGCACCCACTGAGGCTGAGCAGAATCTGAGGTCTCCCACTCCTTGTTCCTGGAAGTCGCAAGCCATGGTGGCCTGTAACCACACCCACTTTCTCCCTACAGGTACTACATGAGGCCTGTTGGTCCAGTCCATGTGTTTTCTGGTGAAGAGGAGCCACCACAGGACTACCCCCATTCCCCTTTGGTGCCCCCCAGATCCCTTGAGTCCCACATGCCACCCCTACGACCCATACTGAGGAAGACCGCTGGCCTGGGCTTCTGCATAATCTACCTGTTCTTCATCACCGCCCTCATCTTCCCCGCCATCTCTGCCAACATTGAGTCCCTCCACAAGGGCTCGGGCTCACCATGGACCACCAAATTCTTCGTGCCCCTCACCACCTTCCTCCTGTACAACTTCGCCGACCTGTGTGGCCGGCAGATCACAGCCTGGATCCAGGTGCCGGGCCCCAACAGCAAGATGCTCCCTGGGCTGGCGCTGCTGCGCACCACCCTCATCCCACTGTTTGTGCTGTGTAACTACCAGCCCCGAGTCCACCTGATCACGGTGCTCTTCCAGTCTGACATCTACCCCGTGCTCTTCACCTGCCTGCTGGGGCTGAGCAATGGCTACCTCAGCACCCTGGCTCTCCTCTATGGGCCCAAGATTGTGCCTAGGGAGCTGGCCGAGGCCACTGGGGTGGTGATGTCCTTTTACATTTTCATGGGCTTGATGCTGGGCTCAGCATGCTCTGCCCTGCTGGAGCACCTCATCTAGGGGGGGAACGGGTCAAGAACGTCAGTGCTGCATGAAGCTTTGGTCCCCTGGGAGCTGGGGAATGAGGCCAGGAGCTCACACACAGCTCACAGTGGAAGAAAGGTATTTTCCAAGGTGCAGAGAGCAGAGCATATTTGGGCTTCTGCCCTCCCAAGATGCCAGGAAGCCATATCCTTGCCCATCCTGTGCAAGGAGAAACATTCCAGACACTTTAACAGAATGCTTTAGGGAGATACAAAGAAGACAGTTACAAACGGGTAACCCTTCCTAGAAGGCCAGAACCCAGAGGTGATGGTCTGTATTCTCCCAGAAAGATGGGAGATTCTCAGCCCTCCCTTCTCTGATGGGGGTCCCCTGGAGTGGAGGTCCCCCTGGATGGCCGGTCCTCAGGCCCAAGTCCGAGCTTGCACAGACCTGAGTTCTGTGGGTGAGTGGGTACCCAGCAGCCAGACTGGAAAGCCTGGAGAGATGGGCCTCACTGAGTCCTTCCTGCCCCCCCCCCCGAAGGCTCCGGGGGCCTCCCTGGGCCAGGGTCTGAGCTCCTCAGGCCAGGTTCATTATGGCTTGGTGGGCCACAGCCTGGATCAGAACAGGGTCTTTTAACATTTGTGTTTACAACCTGTCAAGGCCATCGGTTTAAGGGCCCAATAAATCCTGGAATATTCAATGTAGCCTTACTGTATCTGTATTGGTCAAGGTCTGGGGAGGAAGCAATATACTAAGATTGGGTGATCTGGGGACTTTTTAAAGTTTTATTTCTATCAGTACGTGTCTACAGTTCATAATGTTTACATTCATTGCAGGGAGTTGGTACATGTACGTAACACATTTTCATTCTTTTTCATCCCCTTCCCCTCCCCTCTACCTCCCTCCATCACTTGGTCCCCTTCCCTTTTGTAGAAGATCTATTTCTTGAGGACATTATAAAAACAGGTGTAGGAACCCCAAGGGGTGATACGCACTGTTAAAGAACTAATAACAGTGTGACTCTTGCCCCAGGCGTGAAGGTAGAGGGTAAGGAGTGACCCTGGAGCCTGGAGGTGTGACCTTGTGACCTTGTGGTCTGTTGTGGGGGTGAGGAGGGCCATGTCCAGCCTGCTGAGCCTGTGGGCGAGAGCTGAGGATACCTTCCTGCCCTGCCTCCTGCCATCCCCTCCGTGTCCCTGTAGACTGAGCCATAGTCAGGAGCAGGTGGCAAAGGTCGAGAGTGGCCAGGGAGCCTGGGGGTAACCAGCCTGCAGTCTCAGCTGTCCCAGCCCAGCTGGCACCTGGGCTTTCACAGGTTCCCTGTTTACAGGTATCAGTGGAGCTCTGAAGCTTTGCTTGGCAGAACTCAGGTAGCCCTGTTATGGTTCGGTTCCAGCAGCCGTAAATGTTGAAGTGTGGTTTCCAAAGCCAGCCCCCGAGTTCCACAGGGAGACTGCAATCCTGCCTATTCATGATAATTGACACAAACAGGAATTTGGATTCTTAGGTGCCTTGAAGGCTCCCACAAGGGTGTTCCTCAGGGAAAGGGGGCCCTTTGGGACCAGAGAGAGACAGAACCAGATCAGTCCAGGAGCTCTTCCTCAAGACCGCTGGGCAGCAGAGCTGTCCTCAGAAGTAGCAGCCCCAAGACCATGAAGGAGCTCTGTCCTCTGGGGAGGCTACTCTGTGGTGTCCTGTGGACAGCTGATTAAGCTGGAAAGCAATGGTAATCCACCCGGTGGCAGCAGCTTATGTCTCCCGCTGTCGCAGTCTGGTTCACACTCCCTCTCCATGGCTTGCAGAATTGAAGCAGACACCCTTGAGAGGTTTTCTCAACTTGAGACCTACTAAAAAAAAGAAAGAAAGAAACCCTTTTCCCTCCCCTGGCAGGAGCCCAACCCCACCCCTGCCCCCACTCCCCCATGTTGTGGCTAATCTGGGGCATGGGTCTAGCTGGTGACTCATCTGGCATGTGTCTGTGTTAAAGCAAAACAGCAGTGTGTGTGTGTGTGTGGGCGGGGGATTTAGCTCAGTGGTGCTGTGCCTGCCTCACAAGTGCAAGGTCCTCAGTTCGATTCCCAGTACCAGAAAACAAAAACAAAACACAGAAGTGTGTGAGCCGCCCAGATGAGACCACCCTGAGCAGTGGGCGTCTCACATGCTGTTGGGGCTGGGTAGCTAGAGACTGGAGGAGGAGTCCTTGTTAGAGAAGCAATTTGAAGTCAGCATGGAGCAAAGTAGGAAGAGGGTTGCAGCCTGGAAAGGATGCTGCACCCATTCGAGGGTGGGGAAAAGTAGGGCTTGGGTGGTAGGGTATGGCTGCTGTGTTACTCACCTTAGTTGGGCATATTACAAAGGTTCTTTCCCTTCCAGGGAGGGAGGAAGGGATACAGTGCATGTCCAGGCAGAGGGGCAGCCGTGGGGTACAGGCTCTTTGGCATCCTTTGCTGTGAGCAGCTCATGGGGTTTGGCCGAACTGCTCTGGGCTTGAGTCTCATGTGACCACAGTGAGTTTGTGAAACCAGCTTGAGTAGTGGCAAAATTTGCCAAAGGGAAGGGGACTTTGCCAAGGAGGAGGAGTCTGCCCTAAGAGTTCCCTTTGTCTAGTCATTCTCTGATTTCATCCAAGCAGTGGTTACTGGATAAGGCCCTATGTGTCCCCAGACTGGGCACCTTTCTCTTCTCCCTTATTCAACAGAGAAGGCCAGATCCTTCTATAAAAATCCTTGTTCCTGTGTGCATGGGGACAGGAGGGGCCTGGAGCCTGGGGTGGGTGTCCAAAGGCCCTTCATCCCCCGGCCTATCACCCAGTGCTCCAGGGAGATGAGGGGGTCTGCTGCCTGGGGGAGGACACGGTGGACCCCAGCTTCAGGACCACATGGACACTGTCCTAGAGAGCTCGGAGTAGAAATGGGACAGGGGCAAGGCCTCATGACATTTAATTCAGGTTAAGCCCTGTGCTCATCCCACTCTGGGCAGAAGTCTCAAGCACCTATTTTACCTGCTAACAGCGTGGGTGGTGCCAGCTGTATCCAAAACCCAGGACCTAAGTCCTGTTGCCCCTCACCCACTGGCTGAGACCAGCCCAGGCCTCAGGCCAGCTTTGACACTGGGAGGATCCCAGAAGGAATTTCAGCCTCACCAGCAGGTGGAAGGTGGGACTAGTCATGAAGCCAACAGACCCAGGCTCCAGAACAGCTGTTGTATTCAGATTCCTGGCCAGCACTGTGCTGGGCTGGGTGTTTCACCTGCACTATTCCCTCCTCCATGGATGGACACGGCGAGGCTCAGAGAGGTTAAGTAACATTCCCAAGGTCACTCAGTTACTAGCTAGCTTAGACAGGAATTGAGCTTAGGGCTTTCGAAACTCACACATCCTCACCTGCCCTGTGTTTGTCACCTGATATAGTTTGCAAACAAAAACCAAAATTTTCCCAAACTCTTTTGTTTGCAAACCAAATTGTTTGCATTGTATATTTTTATTGTTTATAAGCCACTCAGTCCATGGTCTTTGTTAAAGTAGACTGAGCAGCCTAAGACAGAAATGGATACTGGCTGGGGTGCTGTAACAAATGCCTAGAATTGGGGAAGCAACTTTGCCACTAGGTAACGGGCAGAGGCTTCAAGCCTCATATAGTGCCCAGTACAAAGGTCCTACCTTGCTGGTGAGCACTCAGAAAGATAAAAGGAGAGCTATGAAGAGAACTTCGAGAATTCCTAAGGAATCTTGAACAGAATACTGGTAGAAAGATGAACAGTAAGTTCTGAGCAAATCCTGGACAGAAATGGGAACAGTTTCTTGGACAATAGAAAAAAGACAATCCTTGTTATAAAGTGGCAAAGAATTTGGCTGAGTTATGTTTGTGTTCTGGTGGCTTATGAAAGGTAGAACTTGAGAGTGATGAAATTGGATGTTTGGCTGAAGAACTTTCTAAGCAATGTGTTGAGGGTATGGCTTGGCTCCTTCTGACTACTTATAGTAAAATTCAAGAGTGAGGAAAATGACATAATGGAATTGTTAAGCAAAAGGAAGAAAGCTTAAAGATTTTGGAAAGTTCTCAGCCTATCAATATTGCATACAAGGCAAACCCTGCATTGTGTGGCCAAGTGACTAATCCATAAGGACATTAGCATGGACCAGCCATCTGACCTGGGCTGAGAGGTCTCCACCTGCAAGGCTCTGCAAGTCACTGCTGGTCTCTGAGCAGGGGGAGGGTGTGGGCCATGTCACAGTAAAGGGAGGAGCCAATCATTGAGCACCTGCTGTGGTCAGGCTGTGCTTACCTATAGTAACCCTGTCATCCCCATTTCACAGATGCCGAAACTTAGATTCAGAATGGTGAAGTCAGGAAGAGGCCTGGGCTGTAATTCAGACCAGCCCTCTGAAGTTCCAAACTCCCATCATCTTCTCTGTGCACGATACTTCTTTTCCATCAGTTTAAACAATTTGCAGATTTAAGGACTCGCAGGGCACGTGCCAGGTAGATAGGTTTGGCACGGGGAAAGGCAGAGACTGGATCAACTGGTCCAGTGTGAATGACAGTGGTAACCTAGCATGTTCTTGTGCCTCTACAATGTTAGCTTCCTCATGTGGCTCTTTATCCAGGCTCGAGGGCATCTTGTGCTCCTCATCAAGCCATGAGGTAGGCAGGGGAGTTGTCCTGCTTGATGAGGAAGTGTGATGGAGTCGATGACTCAGTCCAGAGCTTCTGCTGCCAGTGCAGCTGGCCCGATGGTCAGGTGAGATGAGGACAGGAAGTCTGTGCACTGCTCTCAGAGGCAGGGGGATGCCTGTTAGGGAGGCTGGAGAGTCAACCAGATCTACCCACAGTTTCCATCCTGGTCAAGTGATGAGAATCAGTCCCAGGCCACGGGATGCAGGAGGTAGTTTGGGGCATGATCAGAAGCCAAGCATTGAAGGGCCTGACAGGCTGGCCTGCAACCATTACCCTGTGCCCTTTCCTGCAGCCCCGTCTACTGAGATATCTGGAGAAGTAGAGGAGCTACTGCCCGCTAAGCAGCATGAACCAAGTGTGTTGAAGCAGAATCTTTCTTAATGCATTCAATCACACTCCAAGCAAGTAGTGTTACACCCACCACAGAGGAGCCAGCACGAAGCCAGACATGGCAGGGCTGAGCTCCCCATGCAGTCTGTCTGCCTCTGGGACTTGGCTTCTGCCTTCCTAAAACAGTGGGGCCCTCAGAATCCCCAAGAGTGCTTAGCAGATATAGAGGGCTGAACCCACTTCCAGAGATTCATTCCCATTCCATAGGACAGGGTAGGATCCCATATTTTCATTCCCAACAAATTTCCTGGTGCTGCTGGTGCTGCTGGCTCAGGAACCACTGCAGGCTCCAAGAACCACTGTGCTCCCAAAGACTGATGAGGGGCTGTCAGGAGCTCACACCTGGCGGGGGAGACAGGGAGGGCTTCATCTGCTCCCATTCTGGCTGAGGGCTCAGCCTGCAAAGTCCTTAAAGGAGCTGATCCCTTGAACGTGGTCACAGACTCCGGCAGCCTCTGCATCCCAAGTGCATCCTCTCCACCAACCCCTGTAGTTGGCACTGCCTGGGGCTTTTACTCCTTAGGTGCAACTTTTCCCACCTGCTCCCTTGAGCTGAGGCCACCACCATAAATATTCAGGAGGGAGAGGCAGAGGGGTGGGTGAGAAAAGGTGAGCAGAGGCGCAAGCCTGAGAGGTGGAGTAGGAAGGAGCTGCAGTCTCACCCCCTGGCAGGCAGGCCTGTAACTGGGGAGCGCTGGGCGGGGTGCAGGGCAGCCTCCTGCACACCTCCTGTCACACCTCCTACCTGTTCCCTGGAGCTCAGCTGCAGAGGTGCTATTCACTGTTTATCATTTTGCTGAGTCTTTGCTAAGACTCAAAAAGGGAAATGAGCCATTACCAAACAGCAACATTTTCTGAAACAGAAACTGAATCGACTGCATTTTCTAATAATGTTTTGTGAGCTAAGAATGCAGAAGTCCGGCCTTGCTTTATCAACATTATTTTTCTGGAGAGAGCTGTCTGGCACTTGCCTGCTGCTTCTAAAGCTCCTCAAGAAGAGGAGTGGGGAGGTCAGGTGCCAAAATGTCCCCCGCCTGTTGGTGCCATGCCCATTAGTATTTAACGGTTGGCCCCTGGTCTCTTTGAAGGATGTCAGGAAATCTTTCCTTACTTTTTGCTGCCCAAGATCTTCAGGCTGTTGGGTAAGGACCAGTTTTCTCAATTCTTGAATAGGGAAGAGCCAGGACACAGGGCTTAGAATCAAGAACTCCAGGAAAGTCAGTGACCTCTCTGAGCCGCAGGATCTTGGATCTGTTAATCTTGCATGCCTCTTGCATGCCTCAACATCCTGGTCATGTCACTGTCCTATAAACTACGAAGGGCACGCAAGATACTAGCTCTTGAGCTGATTATACTGCCCTTCGATCTATTCACACCCCATGCCCTGGACAGGAGTCTATGGCACCAAGACATGATATCCTGGAGCTCATAGCCCTTGCCCTTCTGGACCATGCGCTGGGTACCTGGCGCAGGGGGGGAATACGTGGGTTGGGATATCCATGTGTGCACACGGGAGACCCCTCTAGATGTGAGACTGAGCAGAAGTAGAGACTCTAGATTCAACCTGACCTTCCAGCTTGTTATAAAGGTATGTATGTCAAGGTAGAAGGAAGCACATTTTAAGCATGTTACTGGATTTATAACTTACATACTGGGACACATGGTATAAAGGCTTCCATTCATACTCTGGGCCTGGGCCCATAAATGTTCTTAGATTTTTCTTTATTTATTGCAGTGCTAGGGGTCAAAGCCAGGGCCCTCAAACACACTAGGCAAGTGCTCTATCACTGAGCTACATGTCCAGTCCTCCATTAATGTTGTTTTTCATCACTATAAGTTTGAATTTCACTTCCTAAGAGCCAAGAATACCTCTGAGTTTTCTATTGATCTATTCCTCCCCTCCTATCTCCTTCTCCTCTGTCTTCCTAGATAGTCAAAGTTGTGCCTTATTGGGAAATGTAGCTAGGGTGAGTAAAGATTAGTAGGTTTCATCAGCTCCCTTCCTTCTCTCTCTTAAACATTTCTCACCCAGTAGGGCCATGCAGGACAGACCATAGGCAGGATCAGAGGTCCTCCCTGGGCAATAGCTAGCCTCCCTTTTGCCTCTGAGTGGTATCTGTGTTACTTCACAGTGCCAAGATACAGCTGCATTCTGCTGCCACTGTGAAGACCCCTATGACATGAGACTAGATGATACTAAGAAAAGCCATGGGCTCCATCCTGCACGTAAGTAGGAGCAGGCCCTAGGAATCTAGATATTTGCTCAGAGAATAACTGCAGGAAGAGTGGTGCTGCCTGGTCTTCCCTGTACCTTCTCCATCCTGGAAGGGTGCATGTAGGTCCTCAGCTGGCAAAAGGGGAAAGTCTTCAGGTCCAGGTCAAAGATAGCAGGCAGGCAACAACTTCACAAGTTTGGGCTCCTCCTGTGTACAACCTGGGCTTCCTACCTCTTCCTTGGCTTGCTCCTTATGCATAATTATCCACATTTTTTCAAGATTTTTTTTTTTTTTTTTTGGTACCGGGGATCGAACTCGGGTCCTTGAGCTTGCTAGGCAGATGGCGAAAAATCCACATTTTAAAACATGTACAACCCTTCCCCAGTGCAACCTTTCTACTCAGACACCCCTTGGATGTGCAAAGACTCTGACCCAGAAGTGTGTCGCTCACCTCTGTGAGTTAAGCCTCCCTTGACTCAGGAAGTCAGGGAGGAACAGCTGTTCCCCGCTTGCTTCCTGAGGTCCTGGAAAGCAGCAGCAGTAGTAGGCAAACAGCTTTTGGTGAACATCAAATTCTGCTGACCAGTTCATTTCACCCATGCCTGAGAAGGCCACAATGCAGAGCAGGGGGCACAGGGGAAAATGGGAGGCTTGTGATGAACCCACTTGGGCATATCTCCTGCTCCCCATCTGCCCCACAGGCCCTAAGAGAATCAGAGTAAACGCTGGACAGTAGATATGAGTGGACCACTTTATCCAGGTGTGGAAGGAAGGTGAACTACTGGTACTATGCTGGGTGACCTCAGGTGCTACTGAGCAGTTAACACTCAACATGTGGACATTCTTCTTTTTTTAGTTCTTTCAATCCTGATTAACTACAGGAGAAACTTCCAGCTTAGTGCTTGAATTCATTGACACTTTGCTAAACAAAACTCAACAGACTCCTCCCACCCGTTTTTTAAAAAAACAAGATCAGGCCTCAGTTCAGGTCTTGCCCACTAGAATTGAAAATAATGTGGTTTTTGTTTTGGTTTTTTGGTTTTTGGTTTTTTGAGACAGTCTTACTAGGTAGTTCACCCTGGCCTGGAATTTGGCTGATCCTCCCGCCTCATTCAGCCTCCCTAGTGCTGGGATTACAGGTATATGCCACCATGGCTGAAAACAATTTATTTGTGTTTCTAAGGGTTTTTCTTTTTTAAATCTTCTACCTATGACAAGTGATACTGGTTTCCATTAAAGTAGTGATACACATGTTCTAAAAAAAAAAAAGTAAAGCAACTGAGTTAAAAAAATGTTCAATTTTAAAACACAAGTGGTTCTTAAGATATAGCAGGTATCGTTCAAATTTTATCATGAAACCCAGGTAGGAGTTTCCAAGGCCCAGAATGGTGTGCCTGACATTTAGAAAGAACATTCATTTAGAACATTTAGCTGTCTTCCCTCAAAACCAGAGCCACAGGCTAGATAAGCTCTCCCTTTTAAATCAGGATCCCATTAACAAGAGTTCTCTTTTTGTGGTTGGTTTTCCCTATTTCCATTATAGCCAAGAAAAGTAAAAATTTCTGGGGTTACTGATTGTTCCTTTTCAGTTTAGGGAAGAAACCTGGCCATTTTTTCACAGGCAAAGAGCTTCATCCACAAAGCTAGCTATAAATGGTAGAGGGGACAGGAAGGGATAAAAACAGAAGTGGACAGAAGTGTATGTAAGTAGGAAGTTGAGGGCACAAGCCAGAGCAGCTTGAACATTTATAAGGACTTGAAACTCTGGGGAGTAGTGAAAACAAATCTCAAATTGTCCCTGTCTAGACAAGGCAATGTGTCCCTGATATATTATAAGTTATCCCTATCCTACCTGGATAAATCATCTCTCTCCTCAGTCGTCACAAGAAGGCTTTTAGCCGGGTGTGGTGGATCGCCCAAATTCGAGCCCAGCCTGAGCTACAGGAGTTCAAGGCCGGCCTGAACTAGATAGAGGACCTTGTCTCAAAAACAAATTAAAATCACGGGCTCTGGAAATGCACTACCTGGGGTTGGAAATCTGGCCCTATGAGGCTGAGTAAGGGCAAATTAAATTTTTTCCTGAGCCTCATCCTCCCTAGCTATAATAATGGGCATAATACCTACCTCTTAGACTTCAACATTAGAATGGTAACAAGGTAAGCAACCAATAAAATTTTCACTTATCATTCACTATTAGTATTAATTCGGAGACAAACAGGCTTCCGGTCATTGTGCCCAAGGTCACAGAGCTGAGGCAGGGCGGCACTGCAGCGGCTGCAGGTATGAGCTCAAGGTTCCAGCGGGTGCTCCCAGAAGGCGACTCGTGCTTCCTCCGAGGACTGTCTCCCAAGAATTCCGACTGGGATAAGACACACCAAGAAAGGCCATGCCGCCCCGGGGCTGGTGCTCTGCCCCACCCTGATCCCCTCCGGCAGCCCGGCAGCCTTAGGACACTACACAGACCACCCAGCACGACTTCCGGGAGCCGCGGGGCATGCCGGGAGCGGGGGGGGGCTCACAGCCAATCCCCGCGCGGGCTCGATTAGCGGTTACCGGGTAACGTGCCGGACGCCCAGGGGAGGGGTGCAGCTGGTAGGGCCCGAACACACTGGTGGTAACCCGAGGACTAGGCGACTTGCCAATTCTAAAGAACGCTGCTTTTCCTGTGCCCAGTTCCCTCACTCTTACTGGACTTGAACGAATGAGAACATCATCGAGCACCAAATAATAATGATTTAAAAATCATGGGAACAAACAGTGATAAAAATGATACTATTTGTGGAGGATCTGTGGGTCTGTTTTTTTTACAAGGAGTATTTCATTTGATTCTCATCTGATTTTGTAAGGAAATTACAATTACTGTGTTTCTAGCCGGGCAATGATCTGCAGGACGTGAGAACTTGTTAGAAATGCTAATTCTCAGCCCATCCAGCCTCCACTGACTTATATATGCTGGGAGGCAAAGTCAAGCCCTTGGTGTTTAACAAGCCCTCCTTGGGGGGCTGACGCATGTTCAAGTTTGAGAACCACTGTTTTCAGTACTGCTTTGTATCCCCGAGTGTGAACTTGAGCGGTTCCCCGTGGCAACTGCTCAATAACATACCTTTCTGGGGCCTCCTTCCTTTCCTTGTTTCACATCTTTACTCTTCAGCTGGGCCTTCCTGGGATCACCTCCAAACAACTACTTGCATTTGAATCCTTGCCTCAAGTCTGCTTCCAGAGAACACCATCTGAGAGATCTGCAGGGGAAGTGTGGTTGCCCAGAGAGGAGGAGGAAAGTGGCTGGTGAGGACTGAACGCTAAATGCTTTGCTTTTGTTGTCTGCTTTGCTCTTATAATGCCTTTGGTGGGAGGGGGTGACCTCTTGAGAGAGTGAGGGACCACCGTAGTGGGACAGTGGGCTGGGACAACAAAGTAAACCCCTGGGCTAAATAAACTATTACCCTTTTCAGCATGGCATGTTTCAACAGACCCATCAGGAGACCTGATAAAACCCTAAAAGAAGAATATTTGCATGAAATGAGAAATAGTTACCAAGGAAAACCGTAAATAAGCCTTCTAGCCTCACTTGCTCTTAACATAAAAAGTCATTTTGGAGGCCACACAGTTGGGCAATACAAGGTTAGCTTCCCACTAGTTTTGCTGTAAAATGACACCTGTGACATGGGGGTTGTGATAACAGTTGCCTAGGTTACTTCCCAGGGACCTGAAGGCCACTTTTGCTGAAAACATTGACCCTTCCCTTGAGCCTAGAGATCTGATGGGTGACTAAAATGGAATACAAAGTGTGGCATCTGCCTCACATTGTGTCTGTCCCCTTTGGTGCCTCAGCCCTTGGATCAGATTCTACCCAGCTCTGTACCTAGACATGTTCATCATTTTAAAATGTTATGTCCAAGACTATAATGCAGGGTTAACTTGGCCTATTGCCCACTGGAGCCTGTATGTGTTTTCTTTTCTCTTTTTTTTCTTTCTCTCCTCTCTTTTCTACCTCACCCTTGTGCTTCTTCAGAAGCCACCAAAGCCCACACACCTGAAGCCCTTTGCTCCCATTATAGAGTCCAGACCCACAAGGCTGAGATGTATTGGATCAGATACACAAAGATTCAACAACCTCTAGGCCATGTTGGCCGTGACCACCCAGTGGTCCAAGTCCATTACAAGAAACATCTTTTGGAACTGTACTTGGCCAGTGAAAATGATCAGCCGCTAGTCCACTCCCCCAAATTAAGAAAGACTTGCTGGTCTTTGTTCTAGGAGCAAGCAACAGATTGGAAACTCTTGAAACAAACTGGGACTCCCTTCATTGGAGGCCCCAGCTCAGCCAAACAAACAAAAAAATCTTTGCCTCTGCAGGAGTGTGTGTGCTTGCAGTATTTTGCCCAGTCTCTTTCTACTGTCCCTGGGTATCATTTCTGTGAGGACACGGTCTGGAAGATTTTGGTGACTTGGGCAGAAGTTTGAACAAGGTCTGCCTGAGTGCAGAGGGTGCTGCAGCTCTTCGCAGGGAGGGCGGTGGCGGGGTGGGGGGGGCACGGGTTGTTCTCTCATCCCTCCTGCTCTTCTCTGGCAGGCAGGATACCCAGGGACAGTAGGAGACTGAGTCAGATATCGCAAGCACACATACTCATGTACAGGATTAGTACGGCACTCTCCCTCGTCATCTGCCTTGTCTCCTCCATTTGTGTCTTCAAGCGGAATGGCTCTGCCTTCTCTGGCACACAGGACTGTGGCAGGAGATTCCAGCTGCCTGGTCAGTTAACAAGTCCTCTCTGTCCCCCTCTAGCTGCCATTCAGGAGTGGTGGCCGTGTTAACAGATGAGGGGAGAGAGGATGCAGTGGGTGACACTAATGAAATCTTAGCCTCAGTCTTTGGCTCAGCTGCTGAATTTGGGTGAGTCCTTTTGTCCCTCTCAGAGCCTCATTTTTCTCATCTAAAAAGTGTGAGTCCTACTCCCCTCCCTGAAGTTGGCCTAAGAATGCAGAGCTCATGGCAGATAAGCCAGGCACACATAGACACTTGCAGCTTGTGGGTTCATCAGACCCTGCTCCACCAGAGGCTGCTGGTGTTACCCAAAAGGTAGGACCCTCTCCCCTGGACACTGGCAGCCTGCCCTTCCAGGAGGGAAGGGACAGAAAGGGTTACACTGGCCACTACTAGGCTTGAGGGTGCCCCAGTGTCTCACTCTTCAAGAAACTGACTCCCCTGATCCTGCAGTCAAAATGGGGTCCCTTTACAATAATTCCTCAACATACTATTTACTCTTCTTTGTGCTACTTAGCACAAGGGGTAACTATTTATCTGCCTCTGTGTCTTTTAATAAAAACTTCTTACACTGGTCAGGGTGGTGCACATCTGTAATTCTGGCTATTCAGGAGGGTGGAGCAGGAGGATTGGAAATTCAAGGCCAGCCTGGGCAACTTAGTGAGACTCTCTCTCAAAAATAACAAAAACAAAATTTTTATTACAGAAAAATTCAAACATTTATAAAAGAAAACAGAATGGTATTGTGGACTCCACAGACTTGTCACCCAGCTTCAACAATGATCAGCTCAGCGTCAATCTTGGGTGTCTACTTTTCCCAACCTCCATCCCTGTCAATGGAGACACCATACCATTGCCTCTGTAAATATACTGGTATGTATCACATCATTAAAAGATAAGCACTCCTTTATAAAATATAATCACAAAAATATCATAAATATATGTGTCCAAACCTGAAGGAAGTGCAAAACCCAGAGTGAACCATGGACTTTGAGTGATAATGAAATTTCCATGTGGCTTCATCAGTTGTGACAAATGTACCACTCTGATGGGGGTTGTTGGTGATGGGGGACAGTGTGTAGGGGGGAAGGAGATACACAGTCAATCTATGTTCAATTTTGCTATAATCCTAAAACTATTCTAAAAAGTCTTTACAAATAGGACATAACCACAATACTGTTATTAAACTCAACAATAGTTCCTTGGTACTATTTGTTTACTGTTGTCTCTCTCCCCGAGAGTGCTTTCTGAATCATTTGGGTCTGTATCTTGGTGCCCAGCCCAGCACCAGAGACCTGCTGGGTCCTCGGGAACTTTGTGCTGCCTGGACAGCCCTTTGGATGAACAAGTTGCTGACAGCCCACTTTGCTCTCTGCAGATACTGCCTGTGTTAGCCAGCTTTTCGTTGCTGTGACAAAGACCTTAGATAAACAGTTTAAGGAGGAAAGGTTTATTTTGGCTCACGGTTTCAGAGGTTTCAGTCCATGGTCAGCTGGTTTTGGTGTGCTAGGCCTGTGAGGCACAACATCATGGCAGAAGGGTGTGGCAGGAGAGAGCTGTTCACCTCATGGCTGCCAAGAAGCAGAGTAAGAAGGAAAGAGCCAGAGATGAAGGGGCTGGGGACAAAATATGCCCTCCCAAGCTACACTCTCAGTGAGCTGCTTCATCTGGGTAGGCCCCACCTCCTCATACACCCATTCAGCTTTGAGCACCTTCAACCCAATGAACCTGGGGTGGGGGCAGGGCAACCTCCTCCAACCATAACACTTGCCTGTCCCGTCAATACTGAGCTGTGACTGCTGCCTTGCTGGTCCCCACAGTCCCTGGCCCTGGCAGGTGTGAGAAGCACCAGGGAGCTATAAATCTTTCTCAGTTTCTTCTCCTCCCAACCTGCATCCACTTAAACCCTGAAACCAGCAGCAAGTCACTAATCCTCTCCTGATGGCTGCAGCTGCCCCCTCTGTGCAGCTAATTCCACCCTCCAACTTAATCATCGTACTTAATACTTCCAATGAGGGCTTTTCCTCTTCCCGGTCTGCTCAGGCATTAGCTGATTACTGTAATCTATCTGGCTCCTGGGGCATCCACCAGGATGGCAGGGGAAGGACCAGAGTTTCATGTATCCTCTCAGAGACTCAGTTTCCCCACCCATAAAACTGGGGAACTATATCTAGTTGGCATGAGTTACATGGGCAACAAATAAAAAACACTTCACACAGCTGTGTACAATAACTGAGTAAGGTTAGGGCCCAGGGAGGTGCACGTGGACATAGGGACAGGTCCCAGGGCCTGCACCAGTGATAGAGGACTGTCAGCCTCTTTATCTCACAGCCAGAGACAGAAAATGGGCCGCAGGTAATACCCACATTTCACAGACAAGGAAACTGAGGCTCTGGAAGATTAACACATGCCTGCAAATGTCACACGCTGGCGCAGTCCCCACTCCAATTGAGGTGTTCAGGAGGAGTGTGTATAGCATTGCTTTCTGGGGAAGTTGGACCTTTGTCTCAGCTGGAACTACAGATCTTCTAGATCTTCTCAAGCTACAGGAATTCTACTCCTTTCTCTCATTCTGCTTGGTATGGGGCTGTATCCCAGTGTACCTGTTTTTAGTTAGTGAGAATTTCCATATGAGGGTAGCCATGAACAGCTGCTGTTGTTGTACACTGTGCAACTCCGGGGAATAGATGCCATTTACCACCACGGAGATATATCAGCAATGAGGTCAGTCCCCATCAGGAAAGTGGAGGGGACTCCAGGAGGACCCAGAAGGCCCTCCCCATGGTCTGGTTGGCCCTGGATTAGGAGCACTGTTCCAGGAACTGGAGCTCCTGGCAACTCCTTGACCTGGTGCAGGGGAGCAGGTGTGAGATGAGGAGGCTGATCCAGCCCTTCCTAGTGAGACGGTAGGAAACCCCAGGGAGCTGAGTCTGTGTTTAAAATGTGAGGAAGTTGAGAAACAGGAGCAGGACTCTGGCATTTCATATACTACATATGAGCAATAACTTAATCTTAATCACAAAACTCTCTCGAAAGTCATCATCAACCTGTTTTAAAGATAAATTAACTGGGCACACAGAGGTTAATTAACTTGCTAAAGGTCATAGAGCAAGGGAATAGCAGAGTTGAGGTTCAGACTCCGCCTCCCTGACTCCCATCCCCACTCTGTGGTCCTTAATTTTTTAACCTGTATTTTCCAAGGGGAGCAGCAGAGGCCGAGAGAGAGCCAGTGGTTTGCTTAGTCACACAGCAACCTAGGGGCTGGGAGCAGTCTGGACCCAAAGAGCATAGACTCCCAGACCCCATAAGGGCACCTGACCTATAGGGGGCTTTCCCTTAATATTTGTGTAGAAACAGAGCTGCGGAGAAAGCCAGGATGGCTAGGGGAACAGGGGCTGGGGTGGGGCAGATGGTAGAGGGCGGGTGTGGTTAGAGACCCCAGCCCGCTGCACTATTGGTCCAGGTTTCTATAGGAGTTGCCTCTGAGCCTCTCCTCCAAAGTGGCCCCCACCCCAAGTCCCCAAGGGTGAGGTGCTGTGCAGCGCTCGGCCTCCAGATGGCGCCCCGCACTGCAGATCTGGACTCTAGGGGGAATCTGCGCCCGCGGGAGTTAACCCACAGCTGGCCCAGTCAAGGCCGCTGCAGCTGGGGTGTCCACAGAGCTTTCAGGGTGCCCCTACACATGCTTCCTTCTCTCCCAAGGTGGCCTTTGCTGGGCTTTGGCAGCGATGAGCTTGCAGGGCTGGGACTGGGAGCACAAAGCAATACTCAGGCCTCCCTGGCCATGCCTTCTGCCGGGCCCTAGGGAGACTCTCCAGAGGGACTTGGGGGTCACTCATAATGACCACCTTACTCCACCTCTTTAAGACCCACTTCCCTCCCTTGTGGAGTGCAGGTGGCTTCTTTCCAGGAAATTGGGAGGATCTGACAGAGCACCAGGCTGTGGCAGGTGCTCAGCAGACAGAAACCATTAGGAATATTCCCGAGACAGCGGTGGATTGAGCTGATATTCCTTGGCCTGGCTGCTGTCTCTTCTTCATCTTCCTTCCCTTATGATGCCAGTCTGTCACCCCATGCTATTGGTCACCACTTAGCTCCATTATTCACCTCTGTGTACCCGGCATTTCTTGGGGACAGCAGGAAAGACTGGGTAGAGGTTCTGTGTCTCGCTACGGTTTGAAGCCCTGCCTCCCCACCTTCCCTGGCAGAGAGGATATAGCTTACCTGGGCTCCAGGGACCTCATCTGTGAGATGGGGACAGTGATGACAGCAGGACTGTCATCGAGTTGTTCAAATCAAATGAAATTACGGATATCTCTCCAAAGTTGTAAAAATTGTGTATATGTGTGTGTGTATATATATATATATATATATTTTTTTTTTTTTGGTACTGGGGATTGAACTTGGGACCTTGTGGTTTCGAGGAAGGTGCTGGAAGCACTGAGCTAAATCCCCGGCCCTAAAAATTGTATTTTATTACTGCATGGGAAGATACAGAAAAGAATGGAATGGTTTTAGAGTCTCATAGTAGAAGAGCCCCGGGGACTTCAAGCTCCCTCCTCACCTTAGGAAGACATCACTGAGGCTCAGGTGGGTGGTGGACACCGAACTCGGCACCTTCAGGCAGAGCATGGTAGGCTCAGTCTGAGCCCTGGTCTTCCACACCCCATACAGGGCACCTGCAGATGCAACCCCATCCCTGTCCTCTGGCACCTTACAATTTGATTGGAAGCAAGACCGACATACTATGAAAAGATTGCTCAAGATTCTGTGCTGCATGTCCAGATAGGGAATCATCCAGATAGGGAAGGTTCTGAAGCTCAGAGAAGTCCAAGGCCCTGGGGTCTGGGACATAGGCAGGTAGGGTTTCCAGAAGGTGGTGAAAAATGGGGTTCTGCAGAGTGGAGGGGTGGGCACTGGGCACTGGGCACTGGCAGGGGAGAGGACTGCAGAAGACAAAGCTAGGGATGGGGAGATCCAAAGAGCAGTGTGGTGCCCAGGACTGATAAATCAGAGTGCAGGCCATCTAACCAGCCCCTGTGGAAGGACATTGGGTCTCTTCCCTTTTTGTTACCTAATAAAAAACACTGCCTCAATGTATCTGCATATTCTACAGCTGAGTGGCAGCTCAGGAGAGAGGAGAGATTGGGCTAAGCCTGAAAAGGTACCTTGGCTTGATTGGCAGGGATAGGGACAGTTTGGGGGGACATTGATACAAAATTGCTTCCACCTAACTTTTCAACCCCAGAGCTCCAAATTTCAACCATTCGAAGCACACATTTACTGATCTGGGCCTGTCTTTGTGCCAATGATACTGTTTGTAACCCAACTGAAATTTTAATTCCTTACTTTTAAACTCTTAAATTTAAAAACTCTCTATCACCCAAAAAAACCTTTTTATCACCACCATAAATTTAAAAACAGTGCCAACTGAAAAACAGCTATCAAAATAAATACAGTGATACTAGAACAATGTTATTAAATGCAGTCTAAGTTGCCTGCCAGAGGCTGAGCAGAAGCTCTGACCCTTCCTGCAGAAGAAAGAGGGATCATCAGGTATAAAAGAAAGACTGGCACAGGTGAGACGTTCTTCGTGTGTCTATACAGACTACAACAGAATTGGAAAGGGAATAACTTTCTCACTGTGTAACGCAAAGAGGTGACCTGAAGACTGCTTATAGCTAGCAGGAAGCAAAATATGGACCATAACAGATGGAGCCCCACTCTGAAGCCTGTGATTGAAATGGGAGTGAGTTCTTTTCTGGGGTGATCCGACTGCAGTAGGATCCAGAGATGGGGGACTGGATGACCACGGCTGCGCCTCTTTTTTAAGGGACACTAGGTGTTTTGGTAGATGACAGTGGGGCCAGGGTGGGGGCTCGGAGCATGGAGGGAACAGGTCTTGCTCACTGTCCCCCTCTTCAGGCTATGCACATTCCCATGGGGACTGCCAGCTCCCGGGCTGTGGTCTGCAGTTCTGGCTGGCTCCATGGAGTCACACATGACCCTGTGTTGGGAAGGGCTCAGTGCTGACACCACGTCTTTTTCTGGAATAGGCGCCAGCAGGCACAAAGAGGGAGGCACATCTTCTGTGTGCCAATGTGGAGAGAGCCACAGGACATATCTTAAGAGAGAAAAAACAAGTTATAGAACAATATGTGCAGCATGACTCTATTTATAAACACCAATTCTTTAAATTTTTAACACATGCACATGTATAAAACACTTCATTATTCCATTTTCCCTCCTCTGGCTGGTTAGTGATATATCCAGTTACCATTCCTGTAGGGTTAGCCTGGAGATGGAGCTGGCTTGATCTATTATGCTTACCACATAGTCCCATTTTTACCCACCTCTTGGATGACACAAGGACCTTAAACTCTAACTCCTTTGCCCCCTTTCTGACTCAAGTGCTATTGTGTCATGGATTTTAAACATTAGTTTTCTAAAACTGAGATCATTTGTATT